GGGAGAATTACTGCCCATGATACGTTAAAAGACTGGCTGGAAGGTGGGAGGGTCACTCCACCAGGAGTCGGCCCACAGTTACTTATTCTCCCATATGTGAGACTACGGGGTTTCCAGCCATACGTAACACACAGCTCGCGACTGCAGCTCGGCTGGGTGCAAGACAAGCTGTTTATACCAACTCCATGTGCTGTCCCGCGCCGCCTCGCACTCCGACGCTGCCAATCACTCGCATTCCCACCCGCGGGGCTGGGCCGTGCCCCTGGGGTCAGCGGCGACAAGGGTGCCGGGGCAGGCAGAGCGAGCACGCGCGCCAACACACCCGGGCCCAAGCGCACAGACCAGCGCTCAGCAAACCAAAACACCCCCCCCACCCCCCCCGGGGGGGGGCGTCCGTGTCCGAGCCCTTACCGCTCCAGCCCGTGCCTCTCCCGGGCGTGCCGGGCCGCGATCGCCACGCTGTTGAACATAGAGTAGCCGTTCATCCTGTCCACGTGCGCGTGGTGCCCCGGAGGTCTAGGAGAAAACCCCAAATCAAAACTAGCAGAACTCACGCCACACCAAATAAAAAGAGAGAAAGAAAAAGAACGGATGACAAAGGAACAGGTAGGCACGCGCAGCGCAGCTTGTCTATGGCATAGTTTATCAGCATGTATGCAGTGTGTGGTTTGTATGGTAAATCAGCTATTAGTGCAGTTATATAGCTTTCAGCCACAGCGGGTGATGTTTTGCACCTTTCTGCCAGTAAAATCTACTCGTGCCCCTGGTCTCAGAACAAAGCTCCCCACAAGCCCGCAAACAACGCAATTTAATATCACCTCCTGGTCAGGGGCTACAGTTTAATGTCACTTCCTGGTCAGGGGTTACCTGGCAACAGAGAATCCATTCCTGAGCCGCGACGCCATCACCTCGTCGACGAGCTGCAGCAGCGACCCCGCCGCCAGCCGGGCGCAGCGGAACGACTCCTGCGGACAGACAGGGCGGCGCCGTCAGGGGAGGAACCGACCCAGAAGGGCTCAGCCCGGGGCCTCCCTGGTCCCAGAGAGCCTCAGGTTATAGGGCACAGCCCAATCCAATCAGGCCTTGAGCAAGTCAGCAGTTTAACTGGAGACTCGTTCAATTCATTTACAGATCATGCGGAACAAGAATCTCGAAGACTCTTCGGCACTGAACTGAACAAACTACTGGTTTGACTGATTCGTAACGGCTAAGTCCTCCTAATCTTCAAACGCCAGGTGCTTTCATCGTATTTCCTGAAGTCCTATATGTGAAACGTGAGAGTGCTTCGCAGGGTTGAAATCCGCCCAGTTTAGCTGCTATCGATCTCTCCAGGTCCACCACAGCCCCCGGTACAGTCTCCTGCAGTATCCAAGACAGCTCTGTCCCTTTCCCATCATTCCACAGAGCTCCAGAAACCGTCCTCGAGGTTATCCCATCTGGGAGTCTCCCAGATCACTCAGCCAAGTCCGTTACAAACCGCCTTCAGTGTACAGCCCTTTGGCGAGGTTGTTTTCCCTGAAAGGTGCTATTTAAAATCAAAATTTGTTTGACGGAGGATAAGATCACTTCATTGGCCCTATACAATTTCTTGCATGAGGAATTTGTCTTTTCGCAAATGGCTGATTCTGCGCTCCTCAGCTTCTCTCCC